GAAACATTAAAAAGCGTACCAGTCGTTGTTCGCCTAGAATTTGGAACTGGGACCGATTTTCCTGGTGATACTGCGGCCTACTGCTTAATTTCACACGATCGCATTGTACAATATAATCCCATCAGTGGTGATGTCAAAAACTTAGTTTAAAATTAACAAGATATTATGTAATTAATGTACATAATGCTTTTCAATAAAAAGAAATAAAATATATACATTGTTAGAATTTAATACAAACTACCTATAATCATACTACATAACTCGGGGGAAGGGGGACTATGGTGACTATGACGCCGTCTACTTTCAAATGGTGGTGCGGTACGGACTTTATATAGAACAAACACATGCATGTACTCTTATAACGGCTTTGGTATCTCATAGAGTTGACATTAACTTTTTCATCTTTTCAAATGGTATACGTATTAGATATTCAAGGCTTTCAAGGCTCAAACAAGTCTTTCTTCCCTTATAGAAGAGTCTTGTGAAAAATCATGTACAAAAACAGACAGATAATCATACAGAGCAATATATACGTAAATCTGCATGACTGACTGCAAAGAATCATGTACCAATTTTGATAGAAAACTATGCAGAGTTCTATTACAATATGGATGGGATTGAAATCTACATGATTCTTTACTGAATATTTGCAGTGATATCTGCATATTTTTTTGGAGAGTTTTCGCCACTATTTCGCTTAACCATCGTATAATTTTTCCTGCAAATAATTATAATACAGAGGTATGTAGGAAATTAAGTCTTCTTTCTGCCCAAATTATTATACAAATTACTACTCAATGATCTATAAGATTTTCTATGTTTCTCTACACCGGTACCGGTCTTTCAATATATTTAATCTACGGAATTTCATAGTCAACGTTCTGCAGCTTTATATGTTATTGGCAAATAAAATTATCCGAATGGTTTTCTATAAAAATAAAATGGTGCCAGAACAGATTATCGACAATTATCTATCAACTAATATACAAATATCTCATAATATGTCTGAATAAATTTCTACAGCTTTTTTTAACTTCGTTGTGTGATTTGTATGCTTCTATTAAAAAATGTTAGCACATAATTCTGCAGATATTCGTACGTAATATTTATTGCTTATTTTGTAGCAATTTTTATAAAATTACCTCTAGTCCAGTGTACCAAAACACATAGATCTGGATGATTATCTACAGAGCATTACATATAGAAACTTATAGATACATCTGCAAGGATATAAGTAGATTTATATACACTGCAACGGTAGTCGATTCGATTAATCGATCCATTAATCGAGAGAGCGAGAGTTTAAAAGTTTTCAGTTAAGCCTCAGCTGTTACTTAATGTAATACCGCCAATTAGTTTTCACTGTGTTTTGCTGTTTTTATAAAACAGTTTATTGGGATTTTTGATACGCACGTGAGTGAGCGAGGAAGCAACCATAGTAGCAGCATCACAGCAGCAGCAAATTTGAAAGCGAGCGAGGCAGCGCAGCTGATCTAAGGAGCACCTTCAATTTGCTTCAACAATTACGGCTGATCACCGTAATTGCACCGCAGGGTAGTTGCACCTCCATTTTTTTACGCGACAAAATACTAGCGAGAGTAATTTGTTTATCGCGATCGTTATTTTTTGTATTCCCGCCGAACGTTAGTTTTCGCGGCAATTTTCGAATTCTCTCTCTCTCTCTCTGTCTGTCTCTCTCTCTCTCTCTCTCAACGAATATCAATAATTAATTGTAAATCCTATTTGCATGCGTTAGTCTTTCGGCCCATAAAAGACTGTAATTTTTATTGATTAAATTCAGTTAATTTAATTCGCCGTTTATGTCATTTCGTTTACTATTAGCTTAACCGATTTAAAAAGGCTTAGGTTTTAATCCGATTTCATCTAGAGGATTAAGCGGATTAGGCATAAAGTCAGTCACACTTAAGATATATCGAGTGTCACAAGTCAAGTGACTTAAGGTGAGTTCCACTCGGTTGGAAAGAAGACACTGAAACGATAGTATCAAACGTAAAGGCGAATACACGTATAATCATACGTGTTTAAAGGAGCGGCGGTTAGCTCTGCATCGTGGGAGTTTGTTCTAAAATAAATCCCTATTGTACTAGTTAATCCATCCCGTCACAACACATAGAATTATAAACTTACAGATAAATCTGCAAGAAACCAGGTAGATTATTAGATAGTTTACAGATGATCTTAGAGATTTGCTTATTAGTTTCTCCATATAATTTTGTATTTATTAATGTACCCGTATTCTTGAACTGTTATATATAAGCTTCTCTATATTATTCTTAGCTTTTTATCCTCTAAAGATTTTTCTACAAGTGATCATACACATGCTGTACATGAAATTCTACACCTTTTTCGTGGAAATTTCATGAGGAAATTATTTTTTTCTAGTGAATAAATAAAATATTGTTAACAATAATATTGTTATATAATCTATTGGTATGAAATTTTGGAAAAACACAAGAACAATATAATCTGTTGTATATACAAAGTACAAAAGTAATGAAAATAAACAAAGTAATGAAGTAGTGATTTTTCTAAATGTTTACCATGTATTCACTTCCAATATAATATTATTTTTTTATTGACATCTGTTATATATATACACAGTGACCCATTTTGATCCCCGCAGCCAGATTACTCGGAACCTAAGCCAGATAGATAAATTTTTTTCATGACCTTGAGAAGGAAATTTCAAGCTCAAATGCTACAAAATCCTATGATTGCTATTTGCTAGCCTTTTCTCATGAATAGCAACCTCAATATTACAATAAGCATGAAAATGTTGACCTTGAAAAGATTTTTCTTACTACTAGCGTTACCCAGAAACAACACCGTGGACGTAGTACGGTTTGTTTCCTTTGGGGTGCTTGTTTCACGTGAGTCCCCTTGCCTCTCACTAACCTCGAATTAAGTGTTGGAAATGACGACCATTTGCTTCAAGACACATTGTCAAATGCCTTTGAAAATGGCGAACGGTGTTCAACAAAGTTTGCCTCGGAATAGCAGCGCATGCTCGACGAATGCTGTCCTGCATATTTGCTCTTGTAGTGATTTGTTGCTCAAAAACAGCATTTTTAAGTACCCCATAAATAAAAATCTGGTGATGTAAGATCGGGTGAGCAAGCAGGCCAGTTAATCGGACCTCCTCGCCCAATCCATCTGACACCATAGTGCTCATTGAAAAAAGCCTTTACGATTCGAGCAAAATGTGGTGTTGCGCCATCCTGCTGGAACCACATTCTTCGTTGCATTGCTAAGTCAACATCTTCCATCAATCCAGGCAGTTCATCTCTTATTAGCCGCAAGTAACTATGTTGATTTACATTTCCTTCAAAAAAATAAGGACCAATCAAGTGTCCATTGACAATCCCGCACCACACTATAACACTTCAACGTCTTTGATGGTTTACAGTTCGGTACCAATAAGGATTTACATCAGACCAGTAATGGTACTTATGCCTATTTAGTTCCCCGTCACTTTGAAATTTGGCCTCATCAGAAAACCAAACAAAGTTTAAAAAGTCTGGATCATTTTGTATCATTTGTAAAGCCCATTGGCAAAATACAGTCCACTGTTGAAAATGCTCAAACTGTATCTCTTGAACCAAAGTGATATGATAGGCGTGATATCGAAGCCTTGTCATAATTATTAAAAAAGTACTTCTTGAAATACCAATTTCCCTTTCCACTCGACGATCGCTAATGTGTGGATCAAAGTGAATTACTGCAAGGATAGCTACAACTCGATTATCATTTTCATCATACTCATGACGCCTACGTTGACAAACCATGTGTCCACCACGAGCTCTTTGTGTTAAACGTCTGATAGTTCTATCATCAGGGTGTCGTCTGCCAAGATAGTATTCAGCATAAAGGATAGCGCAGCACGATAATTATTTTGGCTGGCTCCTAAAACCAAAATCATATCAACGATCTCGTTGGGTAGATTGTCAGCCATTTCAGCACCAGCTATTAATTACTATGAAATGTAAATAAAAAAGGAAAAATGTTGGAAAATTACGGTAACTTTATCTAGCTAACTGTATTGCCAAAAATAATTCGTTAATCACATTTTTTTATTTTAAATGAACATAATCGTCAAAAAATTCAAGGTATTCCATTCAATTAAGCATTATTTCTTATTTTGATTGTAAATAAAACTAAAATTTCTTTTTATTTTTTGTTTTATGTGAAAAATGTGAATGAGTAGCGCTCAAATTACAGAAATACTAATTGTGATAATGTAATTATTCACACGTTATTAATTATAGACACGACTGCAAAAAAATCATACTTAAAAAATGCTGTTTTTGAGCAACAACCCACTGCATGAGCAGATATGCAGGATGGGATTCGCCGAGCATGCGCTGCTATTCCAAGGCAAACTTTGTTGAACACCATTCGTCATTTTCAAAGGCGTTTGACAATGTGTCTTGAAGCAAATGATCGTCATTTCGAACACTTGCAAAGGGATTCACGTGAAACAAGCACTCCAAAGGAAACAAACCTTACTACGTCTACATCGTTGTTTCTAGGTAACGCTAAAAGAAAGGAAAACCTTTTCAAGGTCAACAGGTCAACATTTTCAAGCTCGTTGTAATATTATTCATGAGAAAAGACTAGCAAATAGCAATCATAGGATTTTGTAGCATTTGAGCTTGAAATTCCCTTCTCAAGGTCATGAAAAAAATTTCCTAAATACCATTTTAGACGTAAAATTCCCGCTCTTTCCGAATCCGATGTCAAAAATAGGGATTCCCATATAAAAAAAAACACTTTGACCTTGAAATAACCTTGAAGGTCAAGTTCAAGGTCAAAAGCGCTTGCCTTAGTGTATTGCCCCCTTTGTTCTCTACAACTTTTGTCAGAACCATTTTGCCCTATCTAGCTTAGGTTCCGAGTAATCCAGCTGCGTCGATTAAAATGGGTCACCGTGTATATATATATTTATACATACGCACACATACATATAAAATTATTCATACCTGATTATCGCTTGTACAAAATAAGTTTTCATCTGAGAATCCATGCATGAAATATGATGTAATGCCAAATGAAATATGTGGTCATTCCCTCGACGATTATTATGTCTAATATTATGGCATTGCTGGCAGTAACGTATTGGATGATTACTATTATAGCTAGCACATTCTATTGAAAAACATACGCTAACTGCAGATTTTTCAAGCGCTCGGCAATTCTAAAATTAAGAAAAAATATATATTTTAGTGGAAAATAATAATAAAATTCCAATTTTTAGTTCATATGATTATCATGTAAACAACATGTGGAAAATTACTAAATCATCATTAAGGCTTTGGAGTCACGTATAAACTTTCGTCGTGGCAAGACATGTTTACGGAGTTATAGGTGTGACGGTATAAGAGTGCCGTATGTTTCTGTCATGCTCAACTAGCACCAAACTTATTTTAGCGATATATCTGACTATACAGGCAACACAGCCTCCAACGCCTTAAGAAATAACCCTCCACACTGATACACAGTCACCTTTGCAAAGTGCAACAAGAAATAATCCCCGCCAAAGAAAAAGCAATAATTATAGATTCAGTGGAACGTCACACTCCTAGAAAATACTGTCTCTCTCGGTAAAATAATTAATAAAAAAAATAATGTTCGTCTCGCATATTTCACACGGTCGCATTTATATGTATGTAAGGAGCAAGAAATTAACTGACTATCTAAGTAACAACAACCTCAAAGTTAATACTGCAAAATATACCTTAGAAAATAAGCCAAAACAAAGCACATAAATATATCAAACGTACATCTAATTATTTCCCACTCATTTATATTACAAGAAATAGTCAAAATAATCACATCAGTCTCTAGCACCAACAACATTAGAGCTGGTATAAATGAGCCAGGCTATTCATACTATTCACACATTCTAAGATTCCGAAGGCTAATGTATATAAATCCTGAAGACGTTGGACTCTTTACAAATCTTCTTTAAAGATACCAACTATTGAATCTACTTTTCCACCGAGAAACTTACCTTTTTTACATGCAAACAAGAGGAACCTTGCTTGACACTGTAAGAACGTGGAACAAAATTGGCAAGCTACACCTCAAGCTATTTGCCCAGCAGAGCAAACAACTACAATAACAAAAAATTCTCCTCTCTGTCGACACTTGACGAAGCAGACTTAGCAAAGATTCTTCTACATTCTCCACCGAAAAGAGGGCTACAATCTACGACCTCTTCTGTCAGCAACACGGATACAGATTCTAGCCCGGTAAACGAAAAGACTGATAATGTCAACAGTAAAATCAGATAAAAAGCCAAAATATAAAAATAACAAAGGTATCAACTATAGTAGATATATAAGAGCAATTCAACCCATCAAAGTAGTTCATTGTAGCTAACCAGAACGATTTCTCTCTGTACTCCGGAAGCTAGGTACCTTCCCGTATGTATCAAGGACAAACTTCACAAAAATTATGTAATTCTACTCGTATGTCAAATTTCCCGCTGAATTCGAATATATGATTCAGAAGTCATGGAAATTGGGATGTTTTCCAAAAAATTCGATTTTCCGGTAACCTATTAAAACTTGAATTTTTCGATCCAGACTCACTTAGGGAACCACCCCAACCGTCCGCCTCCGAATTTCTGCAATTAAGATATGTTATAGTTCGTAAAAAAATAAATACCCGTAATTTTTTTTAACGGCGGAAAAAGTTTAACAAAAAAATGTTACAAAAATGTAAAAAATGATATTCTACTAGAATATGATAAAATAAAATTGACGTGCATCGGGGTTTTCCCATTATCTATTATTTCTAGAGTGAACTACCCCTTAATGTTATAAATACAATATAAACAGTTGTTAATCGAAGATTATGCTGGATATTTCATGTTCTATGACGATCAAAAAAGCCATAAACATATATACTTTTGTTCTGCCAAACAAACAGATTAGAGCGTGAAAGCTATCCCCGAAAGTTACCCATAAACACCATTTTATAGCGAAATTTTCGTATTTTATGCACAGTTTTCGACGAAACAAACGTTAAAAAAATTTAAAAAAATATTAGCTACATATATCGATTTCGTCTACGGGGGTTGGAACCCCCTAGTCGCCTGAAAGAATAGCTATGTTTTCAAATATTTTCTTGCAAAATTTTTTCAGAAGAAATGAAGTTTATGAAATTCCGTTTAAAGTCTAACACAAAAGTATACAGTATTCGTCACCAGGGGCTGCTACCCCTTCATTGGAGAGTAAACAAAGCATTTATAAGTTACCCTGATCCCCTGCCACCACGAATCCAATTTCCTTAAACCTCGAGTTGTTAACCGTCCCACGCTGTAATCCCAAACTCCTACACCCGAATTTCATCAACCCTCTAGTTGGTTACCGCGCCACGCTGTAACCCGTAACTTCTACACCACAATTTCATCAACCCTCGAGCTGGTTACGCTGGCACGCTCTAAACCCGAATCCTACATCCGAATTTCTTCAAACCTCGAGCTGGTTAACCTGGCAAGATCTAACCCCGAAATTATAAACTCAATTTCCTTAACATTCGAACTGGTTACCCTGCTACGCTGTAACCCAAACACCTAACCGCCATTTATTTAACCCTAAAGGGGAATACGCTGCCACGCTGTAACCCCGAATTTCTACACTCGGCTATCATCAATCCTCGAGCTGGTTACACTGCAACGTTCTAATCCAAACTCTTTTTTTTTTATTTATTTAAGCAGATTGAACCCTTATAGGATTATTCTGCTAACCCAAACTCTTAAACGCTATTTCCTTAACACTCTGGTTACCCTAACACGCTCTATCTTCGAACTTCTGGAATCGAATTGATTCAACCCTCAAGCTGGTTACCTTGCGACGCTGTAACACCAAACTCCTACCCCAGAATTTCATCAACCCTGTAGCTGGTGGTACTGCCAAGATGTAACCCCGAATTCCTAACAAAAATTTCCTCAACCCTCATGATAGTTTCCCTACTACGCTGTAACCCAAAATTTTATCCGCTATTTCCTTAACCCTCAATCTGGTTACCCTTCCACGTTCTATCTTCGAACTCCAACACCCGTCTTAATCAACCCTCGAACTGGTTACGTTGGCACGCATTTTCCTTAACGATTGAGCTGGTTAGCCTCAAACGCTCTAACCAAAACTCTTAACCGCTATTTCCTTAACACTCATGCTGGTTACCCTACCACGGTAAAACCCCAAACTCTTAACCCGAATTTTCTTTACCATCGCGCTGTTTACCCTCCCACGCTCTAACCCCGAACGCCTAAACCCGACTTTCATCAATCCTCGAGCTGGTTACCGTGCCACGCTGTAACCGGTAACTCCTACACCCGACTTTCGTCAATCCTCGAGCTGTTAACCGTGCCATGCTCTTATCCCGAACGCGAACAACCGACTTTAATCAACCCTCGAGATGGTTAAGCGGCCACGCCCTAACCCCGAAGTCCTAAACCCGAATTTCGTCAATACTCGAGTTGGATACCCTACCACGCTCTAACCCAAACTCTTTCACGCAATTTTCTTAACTATCGAGCTGGTTACCCTCACGGGCTCGAATACCGAACTCCTACACCCTAGTTTCATCAATTCTCATGTTGGTTATCTTGGCACGCTCTAACCCCGAACTCCTACACCCTACTTTCATCAATCTTCGAGCTAACACCCTGCCACGATGTAACCCACTTAACGGCAATAAGGCTTGATGAAATGGCGATGTAGGAGATCGGGGTTAGGGCGTGTCAGGATAACCAGCTCGAAGGTTGATGAAATTCGGGTTTAGGAGTTCAGGGTCAGAGTGTGACAGTGTACCAGCTCGAGGATTAAGGAAATTGAGGTTAAAAGTGTGGGGTTACAGCGTGGCAGGGTAACCAGATCGAGCATTGATGAAATTAGGGTTTAGGAGGTCGGGGTTCGGGCGTGTTACGGTAACCAGCTCGAGGGTTAAGGAAATTGAGGTTAAGAGTTTGGGGTTACAGCGTGGCAGGCTAACCATTTCAAGAGTTGTTCAAATTAGGGTGTAATATTTCTGGATTAGAGCGTGGAGGGTAAACAGTTCGAGGGTTAAGAAAATTGAGGTTAAGAGTTGGGGGTTAGGGCTTTACAGGCTAAGTAGCTCGAGGGTTGATGAAATTTGGGAGTAGGAGTTCGAGGTTATAGCGCGGCAGTGTAACCATCTCGAGGGTTAAGGAGATTTAGGTTAAGATTTTTGGGTTACAGTGTGGCGGGCTAACCAATTCGAGGGTTGGTTGAATAAGGGTGTAGGGTTTCGGGGTTACAGCGTGTCAGGGTAACCAGCTCGAGAGATAATGAAATCGGGGTGTAGGATTCTGGGCTTAGTGCGTGTAGGGTAACCAGCTCGAGGGTTAAGAAAATTGAAGTTAAGAGTTTAGGGTTACAGCGTGGCAGGGTAAGCAGTTCAAGTGTTGATAAAATTCATAGTTAGGAGTTCCGTGTTAGATCGTGGCAGGGTAACCAGTTCGATGGTTAAGGAAATTGATGTTAAGAGTTTAAGGTTACAGCGTGGCAGGGTTACCAGCTCGAAAGTAAATTAAATTCAGGAGTGGGAGTTCGTGGTTAGAGCGTCGCAGGGTAACCAGCTCGAGAATTGAATAAATTCGGGTGTAGGAGTTCAGGGTTAGAGGGTGGCAAAGTTACCAGCTCGTGAGATGATGAAATTCTTGGTTAGGAGTTCGGGGTTACAGCGTGTCAGGGTAACCAGCTGGAGGTTAGATGAAATTCGGGTTGAGGAGATAGGGATTAGAGCGTGAAAGTGTAATCAGCTCAAGGGTTAAGGAAATTCATGAGTAGGAGTTCGCGAATAGTGCGTGGCAGGGTAACCAGCTCGAGGGATAAGGAAATTGAGGTTAAAAGTTTGTTGTTACATCGTGGCAGGCTAACCATTTCGAGGGTTTATTAAATTCGGGTGTAGACGTTCGTTGTTAGAGCGTGGCAGTGTAACCACCTCGAGGGAATAAGGAAATTAAGGTTAAGGGTTTAGAGTTAGAGCGCGGCAAGGTAACCAGCTCGAGAGTTGAATAAATTTGGGTGTAGGAGTTCATGGTTGGAGCATCGCAGGGTAACCAGCTCGAAGGTTGCTTAAATTCAGGAGTAGGAGTTCGGGAATAGAGCGTGAAATTGTAATGAGCTCGAGGGTTAAGGAAATTCGGGTGTGACGTTCGTTGTT